GCAGTTGAGTATTAGCGAATTTCCGCGTTTACCAAATCAAAACAGTCGATTTTTTTGCAAGGTTTTCAACCTAACGTGAAATACGTTTCTCTAGAAAAAATGAATTTCATAGATGATTTTGACGTCAATGAGAGAGTTGATTCTGATTATCGTATTGGTTTTGCACCAACATAGTGTATTGTTTGCAAAAACAAACAAGAGATCTACGAGTCAAAATTTGAGCTTTCCCCAAAACTCAGAGAACTCAATGTGTCCATCAATGTGAAATCGTGACATGGATGACGATTAACCAAACATAAAGGAAAACTTAGTTGAAATTTGAGCTTAATCAGGTTATAATTATTCTATGCTTTACAAAATACAGAAAGACTGACTTTTCAGAATCTTGCCGATCACAGAAACCAATTTTACTTGACAAAAAACACTTACTGTTATGTACATTTCTATGCAGCACAGTGGGCAATTTCTATAGGGCATGTGGACATGGCTTATTTCATGTTAAAATCGCATTTTTTTCACAGAAATACTCGCTTCTACTCTTTAGAAAATAATTACTGATGAAAAAAAAGTGAAATTCAAAAACGAGTTTTTTAATGAAAAATCCCTGAGGGAGACCCTTACCCTAATTTTTTGTCAAAAACTTTTGCTATTTGAAAAGCTAACAAATCATACATCATTCAATGCAGTTTTGTGCGCTGATTCTAAATATGATATTTTTATTGGATGAAAACGTCTCTGAATCGAGAAAAATATGAAATACCTGAAAAACCATGGTTTTTTCGAAAATCTCCTGTATGGGCCAGCAACATGATGCTAATTTATGCGACCTGTGGTGATAGAGGACATATGGGAGAACATTCTGGCAAATTTGAATAACTTTCAAATTGGGCACTAGAGGGCGCGCTCATTTTACTAATATAGCCGTTTGCAAAAGGTCATAGGAAGTGATCCAAACTTTTGTGAACCAAACTACGCTACTGTCAACACATCGAGTTTCAAATCGTGTCGATAGTAGCGCACTTTGGTTCACAAAAGTTTGGTTCACTTCCTATGACCTTTGGAAAAGCACTGTAGAAAAAAAGACAATTTTTTTCTAAGAAACCTTCAGTAGTAATTGACCACTTTTTTTTATTAAAAATCGGTAGCGAACATTATGCAAATTTATAATATATATTGTTTTTGGCTGTCATTTCAACGGATCTTGTAAAAAAACTATGTGTTGTATAGATGGTGCTATTTTCAGGCTGATTTTTAATTATTTTCAATTAGCTCATTTTCCACTCTACTTGAACTTTGTAGTAAAACTTTTAACGCCATTAAGTAGTCCATAGTCCGAAGTATATCTAGCACTAATTGAATCTTGCAAAANTGAAGAGTTGATAATAATCATCAGGACACACCTATATAAAAGAAAATTAGAAAAAAAAAGAGACACATTTAATTGATAGCCTACTTTGAATGTTCCATCAGCGAACCAATGTTTGTTTTGCTTAAGAATGGATAAATTAGTTTTTGTTGTGAATATAATTAAATTTTTGTCTTCGTGCAAGATGAAATCTTCATCACGATATGTCTTTCTTAATCTTTCTGGTAAGCGACCATTGACATCGACTGTTTCAACAGTACGTTGTCGTCTAATCATTAGCATAAGTGCTTCATTTCTTGGAAGTTCACCAGCTGCACTTAATGGATATGTACGTAAGGCGGAATGAATAATTGAACTGGTTGGTTCATCTGTTATCACAACACGAGCTTTAATATCATTTTTTAATTGAATAGCTGGAACACGATCAGGTTGTGGAGCATGGGAATGAGTTGTTGATTGGGAGAGAATTGCATCCATTGATAAATTAGTATGACAACGAGCTTAATTGATAAATGATTTTCATTTGAATTAATTAATTGATGTTCAAAGCGAACTTACCTTTGCAATCTCGATTCTGGCATCGACGAATTAATTTCGTCGTTGTTGTACGTTCTACAGCATAGATATAACCATCACGAAGCATCATTGGTTTTTTTTTACAGAAAGGAGTTTCTCGATTTGAGACATTTTGCTTGAAAAATAGTGTGCTGTGAAAGTTGAAATTGAGAAGTGAAATGTTTCTTTTTTTTATCTGACTTGGTCCCATAATTAAGGATATTGGATCAGTGTTATCTTTAGTTTAGATTATGCTGAAATTCATTAGTCGAGGAACAAATTTAATTATTCATCGCTCACTTTAGCTCTATCACGATTGTATTGGAATAGTATTTTTTTTTTGTTGATACGTTTTTCCAATTAATCATCTCGCGCTATTGTACATATCTCTTGTAATTTTTCATTTATTTTATGTTATTTCCATTGGTTATAAAAAAAAGAATTGATTAAGAGCGATGCAGCAAGTAGACAGAAACGAACAGAACGAAAAAAAAATTCTGCGACGAAGTGTACTAGTGCCGTTTTGACCATTTCACTACATGGTCATTTGTATGATATTTATTAGATGGGCATTTAGACCATAGTTACCGTATGGGAACTATGTTACGGGCAGATAGACGGACACAGGTGAATTCCCGTTTGTGATCTCGTCAGCCTGGGGCTAAGTGAATCGCTGCGTGATGAACGTTACTTGTAATTATTCGGTGTTTCATATTTTGAAATATCTTATTACGTATCATCTTTCTCCATTAGAAAATTTTTGAACAGTTTAGTGTGCAACTCTGAAGAAGATGATATATATATCGTAGGTCAATCTCGGATTGACCTAGTCCAATCCTAGATTCGTCTAGTTTTGATCAGGCCAATCTTAGATTGGCCTACGACATATATTTGCAGAAAAATTTACCTTACACTAAATATTTTGATAATTCGATATCACCTTTAACTGATCTTTCTAGCAATAGCATCGAATGAAAAATGAAGATGAAAAATATAACTTTTTCTAACCATTGTAGCACTTTTGAAAAAAACAAACGTTTTAAATTATTATCTCAATAAACCTGAATTATAAAATATACTATGATGTATAGTAAATTTTACTTTTAAATAATTTAAGACAAAAAGCACTTGCAAAGTATAATATGTTATGAATGGAATGATGGGTATGGATGAGGGTATAACAAATGAAGGAGTCAAGTAGACTTTTCGAAGCGATAATGTGTTTTATAGTTGTTAACACAGCATTTGTTATTATTACGAATCTCGTTCTAGTTCTTTCTTTTATTTTTATTTCTAATAGTTTACAAACATTTCAGTCACATCAAAAGTATACGATCGATATGAATAAATATTAACCCTTTCAGTCCAGAATTTTTTCTACTAAACCGAATTTGATGAAACTCAGCATAAACTAACTAGGTGACATTATGAAGCATGTGGTTAAATTACAATTAAGAAAGCATGTGGCCACATGAAGATTAAAATATTTTTGTCATTGTTGAATTTTAATAAAAAATTGCTATTATAATTACTGAAACATTTATTTATTCCATTACTGGTACACGTAGTTTCTATGATATAACAAAAAGCAATTTTTTACACAAAGACCAACACAGCAAAAGTTACAAATTATATTCGTCCTTTTCTTTTGTGCTATAACAAGCGCATCGACGATAAATTGAAATAACTATTGGCATATGAGCCAAAAGTTATGATTTTTCGGAACTATTTATGTCCCTTATGCTCCTTTCAATGCGTTTTTTCTTCTGATTACTTATCGAGAAAGGTCTTCCTACCCTTTTCCCACTACGATAATTACTTACGAGTGCAGTACTAATAAGCGACACAATCTAAATATCCTCGAGTATCAAATTGGTCAAATCGGTGGCCTCGATATGAATAACCTATGCTCACTCGATGCTAGGACATACACATTGCTATTGCGTATTATATGTACAAAAGATAAATGTATTGTTGAGGATTGATGTAAATAAAACAAATGAATTTAATCTTTTGCAAACTACTGAATTATCATAGTGCCTCAGATATATCTCCTGAATACAAGTTATGTGCTGAAACCTTTTTTTGCACTAAGGAAACTTGGTATGGTACACTTTTCAATGTCCTCCATATATTCTATCATCCATGCAATCTAATAGAGACCTCTGTTAGCTTCTAACAGTTATTGAAAATAGTTCTCCAAGATTCTCAAAAACTTGAGGATTAGAAAATTCTCAAAGTGGGACGTATCCGTCCTACCGGGACTCAATGGGTTAAATTTCACCTCGTTAAATATGTAGTTGAAAGGATGAGGAGAATTTGCAAACTAAATCGACCCTATTTAAAAACGAAAAGAAAATGTTATCCGTTGTATGCTATTTCAAAGATAATTAACTCTACTCTTCAAAAATACCACTTTGCCCTGATTAACAGTAGAGTTGTAGTATAATTTAGTAATATACACGATTGAGAAACATACACTACTGTATGGGACCCTATATTCCGATACTTTTTGTCGGAATAACTAATACTCAGTCTGTTCTTTAGGAAACAACCTCACTATAGATTCCATACGATAGCTAAGCACTATCGATTATATATATCGTTGCATCAGCCTGAAAACTCTCAGTTGATACAGATAAAATGGTGTCTTGACAAAGTGCAACTAATTATCTTTGAAAATATCTCTAATAAGTAACGTTTTCTGTTAGTTTTCAAATAGGACTGACTTTGATAGCAAATTCACATCCGTCCTTAAAGAAGAAAATTATTTTTCATTTTCAAAAAAATAAATCCTACCAAACATGAATAAACCCATAGTCATGAAATTCGGTATATTAAAAGATGCAAAAAAAAGAAATTTCTAGCTGTTTATCCGCCTATAATATTATGCGTTCAATAAAAAGAGAGAGAAAAAAAATTATTCGATCACTTACCCATTGATCCATCGTCAATTTGAATTATAGAAAAATGTGTCATTGTTTATATTGACGATCTCGGTCAAATAGAACACATAAGTATGTCGATATAAACATTGACATTTATAAAATAAACAAAATAGATATAGATTTAGATAAACATGGAATATTCATGTGTTCAATTAAATGATTTACCTGACGAAATTCTTATAACTATTTTTAAAAAATTGGCTAATATAGAGGTACTTTATTCTTTAGTAAGTGTCAATAAACGGTTAAACAAAATCGCACATGATTTTGTTTTTACAAATAATTTGGCCCTTCTGTGGTCAACATCGGATGGTTTTGTTTATTCATTACATGATCCAATACTTGATCGATTTTGTTTACATATTTTACCTAAAATTCATCAAAAAATCAAATGGCTTGAGCTTGAATCACAATCAATGGAACGCATTCTTCTTGCTACAAATTATCCTAATTTATATGGAATTAGTTTATATAATATGCAAGCAGAAACAGCTATAGGTCTATTTACTGGTAAGATATTTTACTTATATTCTTCCAATGATAGACATATTAAAGCTATAAGTCAAATAAATTCATGAATAGATTTCTGGTTTAATTAATAAGATGATTACAGATTTTATTAAGTTGAAAATAATTTTGTATTCGATTCGTATTTGTTAGTATGAAGAGAAGAAGGTTGTCATCAAAGAGATCATTGTCCATGAAACTTAAGTGCTTATATAAAAATAAAAGACCTAGATATTGTCTTCAATTTAAACTTTTAAACAAATTTTTGAAAAAGAAAATGTAAAATAAAATAGATGATAACGTTTATGATTGTGATATAATATAACATTTAAGATGCAATATAAACGAACAAGTCTAAAGAAGAAAATCAAATATGTAAATTATATCATTATTAAAAAATAAATAAAGTATACATACTTAGACTTAAGCAATCATATAAAATCTAATAAAATATTTTTCTCAATGACTTTTTAATCTTTTCATTGTTTAGAGGAAACTTCCGTACTTCGTACCTTGAAAAATCAAATTTTATCACTGACTATCGATATTAGTACAACGGGAACACAACATCGTCCAGCAGATGTTCATAGAATTATATTTACACATATCTTTACCATGTTTACTAATTTACAATATTTAAATTTTGGTTTATATTCAATTCGTGATCAACGATTATCAATTCGTACACCACTCCTAACTGTTATCTCTGCAAATTTGTTAGAATTACACGTCTCTTTAGATAATTTTCAGGATTGTCTTTACTTACTTGATGGTCGTTTCAATAAACTTCATACACTTTGTGCTGATATTTTTTTCATTCGCTCTTCGCGTCTAATAATCAAAAATCAGGTAGAGTATTTTTGATTAATATGTACGTTATTCAAATGAATTAATAATATTGTTCTTTTCCTAGGAAAAACTACCTACTTTAAAATGCTTTTCGCTATACTCTAATATGAGAACAGATGTTTATGATGAATTAATTTTACCAGTTTTACATCGAATGTCAAATTTAGAAATACTCGATTTGTGCCTTATTGTTGATGGAAGAAAAATATTTTTCGATGGTAATGATTTGAAGATGAATATTATTAATCATATGCCAGAACTAAACAAGTTCACATTTAATATTCGTTCATCGAGTTGTTCTTATAATGAAATTAATTTACTATCAAATGAAGATATCCAACAGACGTTCAAAGATTTTAAAGATAAATAAATTATCTATTGTGCTGATTATTTTCCAAAAAAAAAAAAAGGTCAATGCCATATTTATTCATATCCATATAAACTGAAACATTATGATGATATAACAAATAATTTTCCAGGTGGAATATTCAAATGTGTTCGTAAAGTATCATTATTTGATGAACGTCCTTTTGAACATGAATTTTTCCTTCAAATTGCTCAATCATTTCCATTCATGGAAAAATTATATGTAACTAATCAAAAACAACAAATTAATAAACGATTTAGAAAATCTAAGAATGAAAATCAAAATTTATCAATCATTAAATATCCTCATCTTAAATATCTTCATCTTGTTAATGCTTGCAAAGATTATCATGAACAATTCTTACTCGATACCAAAACGTGTTTACCACTTGATGTTGGTGTTTATATGAATTATAAACTAGTGAAAAAATTGACACGGAATTTTAGACGAAATACAACACGAAGTAACTGTGCGAAACTGAATTACGTATATTTACATCGAAAAGTAGAATTTCCTGGATATTCAAACAGCTTTTTTTCTACAAAAACTCAACTTCCTGAACATGTAAAAGACTATTTTCCTCATGCGGAAATAAACTGATTATTAGTAATTTATTATTTAAATAAAACATGAACAAAAGCAGATTGATTTATATAGAATGAAAGTGTTGAAATGGAGAGATGGAAATGATAGAGGACAATGGTTGTTGAAAACAGACATTGAAGGACATATTGTTACAAATGAAATTGTGCTGTCTGGCTGTGCATATACTTCAGAAAAAAAACAAAATGAAATTACAAAGTAAATACGTCCTAAGTATATTGAAAATTCAAGAGGAAAATCAAGTGATTTATTTGTTTTCTTATATAAGACAAAAATGTTGAATAAATACGATAGAAATATCACAAATACAAACTTAAAATAAATAAAAAATGCAAAGAAAAAAATATATGTTCTTTACAAGGGTGTGGGTTGGGTGTGGGTTGGGTGGGGGTGTGGGGTGTGGGTGGGCGTGGCTGAAAAGAACATTTAAATCTACACCCACACCGATTTCTCGAGTTTCAGCTCAAGCAAACTTAGATCTAAGAATCTGACTCATAATAAATTCAATGAAGAAATGTTGAAGTGCGGTACGGTCTCAAGCCAGAAATCGAATATTGTAAGGAAAATAACCCTGTTGCCTCCTGTGGAAAAATGGAGTACTACGAGGAACGCTATCTGGCTCTCTTCTATATCATATGAGTTCTAAAGGTTTCATAGGAAAAACCGCTACACATTCAGCTATCTGGTAAGCCTGTGAAAAGAACACGTTAAATCATACAGAAGTATTACTATCTATACAGCATTATATAAAAATACATATTATTGTTGAAAGCTTTTCTTCACGTCGAACTTTCTCACAATCATATTCTACCAAACAGCATGATTTGTCGATGTGTTTCGAAATCTAAAACAGGATTTATAAGACACGGTACTCATCAAGATTCTCAAAATCTTGATAAGAAGAAGAATATTCTGCCTTTCGGCTACCTTCGGAGATGGGATAGGTTCGTGTTTTTCCGGAACCGAACCGAAATATTTTTAAACCGAACCGGACCGATCTAATTTTTGAAAAAGTTCTAACCCAATCGAACCGAACGGAATCAAAATTTATTTTGAACTAACAAATGCTCAGAGTGTTTTGAAAAGACAGTTATTGTATAAATGCATATAATGCCACTATTGATCAATGTCAATTCGAAACATTCTTCTGTTTTAAAAGGACAAAGTAAGCGTTAGAAAGTTTTATTTTTAAAAACTAAGTTCTCCAACTTTGGAAATGGAAAATAACAGCACTTTTGGTTACGATACAAAAATAGGCTTTTTTTTATACCAAAGCCACTATGTAGCAGCTTTTTATTGATACTTCTCGAAACTCTCATTTGTATTTGCTTCAGATCATTCATATCTTTTATTATGACTTCATAAATACTTGCTGTGAGAAACTTAAAAAAAGAAGGCAAAAAACTAGTTTTAACGACAGAAGAGCTATAA